TTTAAGGTGGGATAATGACAAAAGTGGGTGGCCCTAGAGCTGGTACAATCATAGTGTGGCCACAGTCTAGAAAGCCTTGGCCAGTTCCTTCAATCTCAAGGCAGTGTTTGAAGATCCATACAGTTCTGTGCAAAAGTCCACTTCACAATGAAGAGGAAAGTCAGGAGTTTCCAAAACTAGAGTTAAAATAATTTAATAAAGCTATAGAGAAGCTTGGTAGACCACCGAAACTGTCCTCATCAGATAAACGGTATTAAAAGTTTCTTCTTTGAAAGGAAAATGTTTGAGGTTTAGGTGTAATTTTCTTTTATATATATGTTGAGTGGAAATAAATGAAGAGAGGTTTCTGCCTTTTACACAGTGCAGTAGAAAATAAACTGCAAGGCTGAACATTAGGAATGATCAGATGTTTTTTGTTAGAGGATTTGATGTTGTAACATGTGGTTTAACAGTTTTTGAACAGCCATCTGGCTTTTCTGTGTCAGTGTGAGTCTCGAGCACAGTAATACACAGCTGTGTCTTCAGCTTGCAGATTCTGTCCTTGTAGGGTTACTGTGTTTCTGGTTGTGTCTCGAGAGACACTGAACTTGCTTTTCAGTGAATCTTTAGCATATATGCTTCCTTCATAATATATGCCATTGATCCATTCCAGAGCTTTTCCTGCAGGTTGGCGGATCCAGCCTGTTCCATAATGGCTGCTGCTGTCAGTGATAGAAGCTCCAGATACTGTACAGGTGATGGTTAAAGGCTCTGCTGGTTTGATGAGCACTGAGTCTGGCTGGATGAGCTCAGTAGCACAGAACACATCTGTGAAAAGAGAGAAGAAAAGGTTTGTATATTTGCAGTAATAAATCAGATGAAGTCAAATCCAGCTTCAGTTGGACACTCACACGAGGCAGCAGCCAGCAGCAGCAGTGGAGCTGAAGAGAACATGTTTGTGCTGCATTTAGAGTGATGGAAGCTGCTGTAGAGGGAGATGCTGCTGATATTATGAGAGCAGATGGGGATTTGCATATGAATAAAAAGGGGTTGAATGTCAGGAGTGGAGATGGTTCTCATGTGGGCTGAGTTAGATAACAGAATGTGTCGTTCATAAAATGGCTGAATAATTTGAGTCGTTTCTCTGAATCTCTGTAGAGCTCTAATGTTGAATGATCTGATACAAGAAGACACATACAGTGACATTTGTTACACGTTACAAAGTTTTATCATACAGTAAGCCATGTTGTATGATTATGAATGTGGTAGTGTTCAACATTCATGACAGCTGAAAAAACAATCAACTGTCTATTTATATATAATATCAACAGTATCAAATTCAAAACTTCAGGGCAGCAACACTGAAAAGCAGACAGACAAACGATGAATAATCTGAACCTAAAATGTATGTTAAACATGATAAACTCAACACTGTTCATAATCAGAATAACAGGGTATTATCATTATATATGTAATTTTCAGATATGCACAGCCTGCCCCCTACGGGCTGAAATGGAGACTCTACCTGGTGTTGGAGATTTTGAAGCAGAATCAGAGCTGGTGTAGAGGATGTTTAATGTTTGTAAATACAAAAGTTCTCAGTATTATCAGATTCAGTGTCAGACACTTCTGATGGAGTCAAGGGATTAAAAAGGTGTAAGAAAAATGTTAGATTTAATGATTTTGATGTATTAATCAAATAAGTATAATAGAGAAAAATACAAAAAATAAATCTACAACACTGTGCAGCAAAGTCAGACTCTATTTAATTTCTTGTCAGAATTGCCTTCAAGTACAATATATACATTTTTCATGAGTTTCTACATTAAATGTTTGAGCATGAAAAGCCTTTCTGAAGTTTTTAAAGAACCACAGTAGAATGTAAAAATATTCTACCAAGGAAACATTTTTACTGGAACCACAAACTCAAACCAAAAATGATAGCCTTTTTTTTTATTTTTTATTTATTTATTTTTTTTTAAGAGAGCATAGAATTGTGGATAATATCAAAATAAATATTTTACTGTGCAAACATCAGAGACTATCCTTCATTTATGAAATTTCTATTTTTTTTTCAGTAGATATTTCTGAGGAGAGCAAACAGGAAAATAATAATAATAATAATAATAATAATAATAATAATAATAATAATAAACAAAACAGGAATTTCCAAAACCAAAAAATGTATTGGTTCTGCCACAGTGTGGAAGCTTCTAGCTCTGGAAGAGCTGAACACGGTGTCAGACCCAGTTGGTGTATTTCTAGGGGCATGCTGTCAGGCCGAGGGCTCCGCAGCATTTCATGGCTGAAGCCACCAGTCCTGGAGGAGCTGAATACACAACACCGTTAGCATCGATGATTCAGTGGACAATGAAGAAAGAGGAAGGTGGCCGAGAGGAGTGCAGCCGCTGCTGTCTTCACCCCCTGTAGCGCGGAATTAATGCCCTGTTAATTAATTCCACTGCACCCAGGAGGAGGATGTGGAGCTCTCTTGGGCAAATGGATGGCACACAGGTGCACCACCAAGGCACTTTGTGTCAGCTGGGACAGCCACTGGATGCGTGATGAGATGCGGTACTGCGTGTTTGAGGATCTGGTGCCTGGGAGGTACCTGTTGGTGGTAAGGAAGGTGGTGGTGGTGGGCACGTGCAGGAAGCGGTCTGCTTCAGGGATGTCAACTTGGTCTAGATGCTGCTGCCTTTGTGGCAGCAGTTCTATTGATTGAGCTGCCATTCAAATGTGGAGCTGTACATGCATTGCTGTGACCAGGCACACTGATGGAGAGGATGCCCATGGAGCTGGTGTTCGGCTGTCCACCATCAGGAAGACAGAGCCCCAGAGCGGGGTACATTTGAGGAGCTGCTGGGCCAAAGACAAAGCCCATTAAGAGGACCGTAGGCACCTTCTGCCGTGGATACACTTCGGCACAAGGGAGGTGGACAGGCCGGGACTCTGCGAGCACAAGAGACGTTTTTTGGGCTGTGAGGGTTGCTAGGACGGCTGACAGGGACTGTGTGGTGCCTGCCACGGGCCGCTCTACGGTGGAGAGTTTAGGGAACGTTTGCCCATACACACAATGTTGTCCTGGTCTTCTGTGCTCATGCTACAGCATTAAAAGAATGTGGATTATGCGAAGCCGAAAACTCAAGCAACTGATCTTTGGAGGTCTGAAAAAAATATCCCTGCAGAAGTGCTGGCACAGTGAAGTTAAATGTATGGTGTTTGTTTTGTGTGTGTTTGTGTTTTTTTTTTGTTTTTTTTTCCCCAAATGTTGAATGAATTACTTCTACTTAAGTATACGTTCTAAAAGTTTAAGGAACCTCAACCTAAAGGCTTTATACCAGTTAAATATTTTCTTAGAACTGTACATTCAAACCAGAAACTATTAGAACATTTTATCTTTAAGAATGTACAGAATGGTGGATTATTTTCTTCTGAAGGAAAAAAAAAAAAACTGGGTACATATATTAACTAATCTCAATTTACAAAAATCTTTACTAAACCAAAAAGACTTAAGTCTCATGTAAGTGTGAAAATGCTGAAGTGAAAGTGTTTGTTTCCTTCATCCTGACACACTGGAGGGGTTTTGTAAAGCTCTGTAAACTCTTGTGTCAGTGTGGATCTCGAGCACAGAAATACAGTCTTCATTCTTCACGCTGCTCATCTGCAGATACAGCTGGTCTTTGCTGTTGCCTCTGGAGATGGTGAACCTTCCTTGGACAGACTGAGAGTCTTTGTCTGTCATATCTGATTAATGCCAACCATTCAAAGCTTTTTTCCAGCAGCCTGTCTGACGTTTAGACCAGATGTTGTACAGGTCAGCATATGAGATCTTCCAGGTGTAATGACCACTGCTTCAGACTGGGTCAGCGTTTGACTCCAACATTCTTAAAAAAAATATATAAATAAATAAATAACCAATTACTACTTCCAAATGTAGAATAAAAACTTTTTTTGTAGAAAATCAGCCCATCAGGATCTTACTTCTAGAGAGACAGTAAAATAAAACTCTTCTTCACTTCCATTCTCCAGGTAGCAGAGTGATGACCATCAAGCAGACTATCATAAAGACTGAGTGATGACTGAGAATATAAAGCTTGTAAAGGGCAATGAGTTTGCATAATTCATTGCAACTTAAAAGAGCTTTAATTCTGACTTTCTAAATAGCTCCACCCCCTTCTTTTCCACTGTATTCTTACTTACTTTAACTAATACATGTAATAAGGGATCATTCATTTTCTGCATTCGCTTAGGTCATCTGAGAGCAACAGTTTATAATGTTGATTGTCAAACGGAACAAAACACAGCTGTGTCTTCAGACAGCAGGTGTTGTTGGATGTAGCTGACGAAACTGTTCACTTCAGTTTCTTAAGTCAGTATGTCCTCTGCAGTGTCCACTCTGCGAGACCATATAGTGTCCCATTCCTCATTTTGGTGCTCAAAGTGTGCTCCCAGTGCTCCCAGTGCACCCTCTATGTTCTCTCAGTGCAGTTTGTCAAGTATTGCATCAATGCAGATCAACAGCCACCTCAAATTCCTTGTGATACAGGCTTAATTTGTTTTTTGAGCTGCATTATGCTTATCTGTATTGTAGCGTTTTATACAGCACTCTTTAAATGACATAATAGAAGCAATATTGCCCTCTACAGTTTCTGTAGTGAATGTCAATCTGTCAGAATGACAACATTCCATGAGAATTAAAGCGCTTTTATATGCGTTTCTGTATAAACAATTACCAATAAGTAATTGACTTGGTTACCTCTGTATGTAGATCAGCAACTACAAACAGAACTGAAAGTATTTTTGTTGAGCTCAAATAAGAGCTAAATAATTTCCTAACATTCCTCACTAATTCCATCAGTCTTTAGAAAGCTTCACAATGAACAGCCTAATTTTCACCTAAATGAAAAGAGAAGCCAGTCTATCTATAGTGTCTGTGCAGCTTTACTGAATAATATAATGCTCTTTAGTTGAATCCCGTAGTTGAGTGAGGTTTTTGTACAGCACTGTAGTGTCTTGTATCAGTGTGTCTCTCGTGCACAGTAATAAACAGCAGTGTCTTCTGTCTTCAGGCTGCTCATGTGCAGATACACCTGCTTCTTACTGTTTTCTCTGGAGATGGTGAATCTTCCTTTAACAGACTGAGAGTAATACTTATCGCTGCCACTTGGAGCTGAAATACGCGAGATCCATTCAAGCCATTTTCCGGGAGCCTGTCTAATCCAGGATATGTCTGCATTGCTAACATCAATTCCAGAGAAGGTGCAGGTGAGAGTGTGAGATCCTCCAGGTTTAATGAGCGCTGGCTCTGACTCAGTCAGTGTCTGACATCTACAACCTGTCAAATAAATGCTCAGTTAATCAGTTCAGTTCAAACACTGACACACAATCTCACACAAACACACAAATGACATGAATAAAGATTCTCAGATGAGCTACTCACTGATTACAGTCATTAATGTGAATAGAAAGTGGTGAATGGTTCTTGGTTTCATGGCTGCTGAAAAGTCAAATCAAAGTGAGATTAATGTAGTTAGAATCTGTGTTTTTATATAGGGAAAATCTCATTTGCATGTCCCGCCCTCTGAAGGGTTCATCAGCAGAAAGATTCAGGGGGACATTCTAGCACTGGAGAATCTAAATGATGCTGCCATGTAAAGTTTTAGTACAGGATTACAGAAATCAGACTGATATCCTGCATCCTGCATCCTGCATTACCAGTGTTTTGTAGTAAATATAAACCAATAAATGATCACAACACTGTACTGAAAAGTAATGATACTGCTGGAATGAATGACAATGAGATAATTTAGGAGTCTGTGAAAAGCTGTATATCTGACTTTATTCACATTCACACTAGAAACACTATCAAGATGTGTAGATGAAGAATCAGTGCATCATCCTATCATTTTTTTTTCCATTTTTATTTTGAGCAATTTTTAAATGAATAATTACTTCACTGATAGATCATCAGTCCTACAGTACCTTCAGATGCAGACTTTATGGACGATCTGTATATGATCTGAATGCTAAAACCTGAACACTCTCCATAATCAGAATTACAGAACAGTCATTTGTAATGAATGGACAGGCTGCCCCCTGCAGGCTGAAACACAGTCCTTCAGCTCTGCCTGACATTGCTTGTGTTTGATTTGTACAGACACAGTGTAGAAGATATTAAATGCTAACACAGTCAGTGGGTTACAAACGAAGTGATACAGCAATTATGAGATTTATTCTTTTGTATTATATAAATAATAAAAATAACAGAGATTAGTACAAACAACTGACTTATAGCATTGTGCAAAAGTTAGAGAGCCCTTTGATTTATTCATTCTCCATTCAAAATGTCCTACAAGAGCAGGTGATTTCATTTTCAGGAGATTCTAAATCAGACATTTTGGTGTGAAGAGCCTCTGTAAAGGTTAAGGAAACTCAGTAGAATGTAAAACTTTTTTTTAAAGAACCTCACATTCAAAACATTTTGTTTTTAAGTGTTTACAGGTTGATGGACTGTATCAGAAATAATTAAATAAGTTTGGAAAACTCAGACCACCCTTCATGTATTAAATTTGAAGTGGAAATGGCCTTTTCATACAAGCTATTCATTTTTCAGAAAGTGTTTATGAAGAGCTTATATGATGCACAATAATGTACATAAAAATATAACTTCAGTACTAAAGTTACTGAATAAAAAGGGGCTGAATGTCAGGAATGGAGAGTTCTCATGTGGGCTGTACTAGAGGACATATTTATTCAACTGCAGACTGGCTGATTGTATGTAATTTACAGTAACTCTGCAAACCAAATGTGATTAACTAGTATGACATTGATTTCACAGCATTTTATCATACAGTAAATTATGTTGCATGGTTTTAGTTATTTATTTATATATTTATTTTTCAGAATCTCAAGTTTCAAGTTTTCAGAATTTGAGTGCGGCATCTTTGATACAGAGAGCAAAAAAGAAAATGTGAATGCTTTGAACCTGAGCTCAATGATTGTCATGATAATCTGAACGTTTTTCACACTCTGAATATTACGACCTTCTCTTGCAAGTTGTTTGCAGAAAGGTTGACACCCTAGATGTTAAAACAGGGGGACTACCTGCATTTTGACGCATATTTACAGGATATTCTGCCATTCGACTTTTTTTAAAAAATAGTTATAATAGTTACAAATAAATTCCTTCAAAGTGGTTTAATCTTAAATGGTCCATTCATGACAAACTTACAGAGTCAGAATTGTTCACAGTGGTGTGTGACTGTAATTCTCTCACTGTCTGCATTTCAGAGGTGATGGAAGTGGGAATATTTACAGACTGTAATGGTCTGTGTTTCTCACACCAAAGCTGCAGTGGGCCACATTCCACAATGGTGGTGTGGGTTCAGTGAGGGTTAGCCAACACAGGGTCTGTCTAGGTTTTGTGTGTGTCAGCTCAAGTCCACACTGCCCACAGACAGCCTTCAGTGGAACAGTGGGAGCATATTTCTTGGTTTATTGTTCTTAGACAATGACAAACATAAAATGCAATAAAATAAATACACACAAATTATATAAAGTAAAATTAATAATAGCAATAAACAGTTCTTCCAAGTTCATTTAGAGAATGCTGCCAAACATGGACAGCTGAAGGACAAGTACGTTCAGTCATATCAATCAACATTTGAATTTAAAATGTTTTATTATAGTGTTTAAACAAGAGGAGGTTCAGTGGCTCAGTGGTCCATGTGAGCAGTTAACTGTCCATTCACTGTTAATGGAATTTCATGACTTGGCTCGTTAATACAGAAAAGAGTTACTGTAAGTCAGTCATAGTTGTGTATATATTACATCTTTTGAGTGCTTTTGAATGCAGCTCAACCAATCAGATTTTAGGACCAGAAATATCTGTTTTATAAAAAAAAAAATACTTATTTTACAGATACAGAAAATCTTTGTTTGCATTATCATTATGCCTGTTAATACTTTGTCCTCTTTTCGAAATAAATCTCTGGTGTGAGTGAGTTTTTGTATGTCTCAGCTGGTCTCTTACAGCACTGTGATGGACGTTGAGCACAGTAATACACAGCTGTGTCTTCAGCTTGCAGATTCTGTCCTTGTAGGGTTACTGTGTTTCTGGTTGTGTCTCGAGAGACACTAAACTTGCTTCTCAGTGAAACTTGAGCAGCTATGCTACCGTCATAATAAATGTCGTTGATCCATTCCAAAGTTTTTCCTGCAGGTTGGCGGATCCAGGCTGTTCCAACATTGCTGCTGCGGTCAGTGATAGAAGCTCCAGATACTGTACAGGTGATGGTTAAAGGCTCTGCTGGTTTGATGAGCACTGAGTCTGGCTGGATGAGCTCAGTAGCACAGAACACACCTGTGAAAAGAGAGAAGAAAAGGTTTGTATATTTGCAGTAATAAATCAGATGAAGTCAAATCCAGCTTCAGTTGGACACTCACACGAGGCAGCAGCCAGCAGCAGCAGTGGAGCTGAAGAGAACATGTTTGTGCTGCATTTAGAGTGATGGAAGCTGCTGTAGAGGGAGATGCTGCTGATATTATGAGAGCAAATGGAGATTTGCATATGAACGAAAAGGGGCTGAATGTCAGGAATGGAGCTGGTTCTCATGTGGGCTGTGCTAGATAACAGAACGTGTTGAGTTTTATTCAAAAGAGGACATGATAACGATTTTAAATCATGTAACTGAAACACTGTAGAGCTCTAATGTTGACTGATCATTTATTATTCATGATAAGATGCATGTAATTAGACATTTGCTTGAAATTAATTAACATTAAAACGTGTTTTTGTGTGCAGAACTAGTTTATATGGTTATGAATATTATTGTCTTTAACTATTTTCAGAACATTAGGTTCAAAGTTGTTTGCCTTTTTCATAATCATACAACATTTTGGTGAATGTTTAAGTAAATTCCAGCAGTTGTGAAAAATTTCTGCATTAAATCATTTAAAAATAAACATCCAGAAAGTGATTTAACAGCTGTTTGATGGGAAATTTTCCATTCTTCAGAAAGTTTCCCAACATCTGAAGAGTTAATGTCTCTAAAAGCTCCCTCACACAAGGTTATTAAACAAAATGTTCCAAACATATTACATGAGGACTGAGATGTGTAATGATAAAGTTGCCAAGGTTTTAGGCTATAATGAACTTTTTAAATGCATGCAGACGTACATGCATCCAAAGATTCACTCCAAAATTCTCAGCTGTTCCTTCTAAGAATGTTATAAAGGAGTATTAGAAAAGTCATACCACAGAGCACTGTGGAGATACTTAATATTTGCAAAACAATGTGCCACCACAGGGATATTGCCAAGGAAAAGCTGATGACAAGACAAGAGGAGATTTTATCAGAGAGGTTACAATGACATTAAAAAAGCTGGAGGAGTCGCTGCTCACTCCGGGCAAAAACTTGAAGATGACTGAAGTCTCCCATACAATACTTGTGTCAGGGCTTTGTGGAATAGCAGAAAAATAGAAGCCATTATTTACCAAAAATATCACACAAGCCCATCTAAAGTTTGCAAAATACACATTGTCACCCAAATCCATCTTATGAAACAAAGGTTGATGTTTCTGGCCTGCATTCCACATGATATATATTTGACACAACAATGAAGCTTATCAATTAAATATATCCATACCTGCTGTGAAGCATGACTGTGGGAGCATCATGTTTTGTGTAGGCTTCACTTCAGCAGGAGATCAAAGGAGGTGGGATTATGACCAGGTCCAAATATAAACCATCATTTCATCCAAGGAAAGGTTTCAAAAAATGAAGATCAGTGTCTTAGAAAAGCCCTTTCAGAGAGCAGAGCTTAATCCCCTAGAAAACTAGATCTACATCAGACTTTATATAGTAGATCACCTGATAATTTGAAGGAGCCTGAACTTTTTCACATGGAATAGCGGAATGAAATAGCAAAGTACAGGTGTGTTGACTTGATAAGGACTTATTACTTAAAGACTCACTGCTGTAATACATGAAAAAGGTACATCAGTAATGTAGCTTATATTTACAGATATTATGCACATTTTCTTGCTTTGTTGCTTCCAGACACACAGATGCATACATACAAGCACACACACACATCAGATAGTCAAGCTACTGACACTTCAATGCTTCTTTATATGCTGAGCTCTCAGTTCTGGTCTGATCTGTGATTCATGCTGTACTTATGAATTGCAAACATTTGAAAAAAGATCTGTGTAAAAATCTCAGCAACCTGCATCCTGTTTTTGTACAGCACTGTAGTGTCTTGTATCAGTGTGTCTCTTTGTTAATAAATAACTGATTACAGTCATTAATGTGAATAGAATGTGGTAAATGATTCTTGGTTTTTTGGCTGTTGTTGACAAGTCAAAGTAAAGTGAGGATAATAGTTAGAGTCTGTGTTTATAAAGTAAAAGTCTCATTTGCATGTCCCACCCTCTAAAGTGTTCATCAGCAGAAAGATTTAGGGGGACATCCTAGCACTGGAGAATCTAAATGGTGTTGCCTTGTAAGCTTTTACTACAGCACTATAGAAATCAAACTGAGACCAGGTTGTTCTGAAGGTCCTGCATCGCCAGTGTATTGTAGTAAATATAAACCAATAAATAATCAGAACACTGAAAAACTGTACTGAAAATGAGTTTCTCTAGGAGTCTTTGTAAAGCTGTACATCTGAATTGATTCACATTCAAATTACAAAATCTTTGAGAAGGCAAAGATGCAGAATCAGTGCAACATCCTGTCATTTATTTATTCATTTTTGTTTTGAGTAATTAAACAAAAAAAAATTCCTCCAGTGACAGACCATCAGTCCTACAGTGTCTTCAGATGCAGACTTTTGGATGATATGAATATGAACTGAATGTCTGTCATAATAAACTGAACACTCTCCATTATCAGAATTAGAGAACATACATCATCTAAACCGCTTATCCTTCTGGGTCGCGGTGGGGTGCTGGAGCCTATCCCAGCTGTCATCAGGCAGAAGGCAGGATCCACCCTGGACAGGTCGCCAGTCCATCACAGGGCAGACAGACAGACAGACATACACAATCACACACACATTCACACCTAGGGGCAATTCAGCATGTCCAATCAGCCTGACTGCATGTTTTTGGACTGTGGGAGGAAACCGGAGTACCCGGAGGAAACCCATGCAGACACGGGGAGAACAGGCAAACTCCACACAGAAAGGACCCTGGTCGCCCAGCCGGGAATCGAACCCAGGACCTTCTTGCTGTGAGGCGCCAGCGCTACTCACTGCGCCACCGTGCCGCCCGAATTAGAGAACAGTCATTTGTAATGAATGCACAGGCTGCCCCCTGGAGGCTGAAACACAGTCCTTCAGTCCTGCCTGACATTGCTTGTGTTTTTTATGTGATTCTACAGACACAGTGTAGAAGATATTAAATGAAACCAACCACAATCAGTGGGTTACAAAAGATGTGATATAACAATTATACGATTTATTTGTTGTATTATTTAAATGATACAAATGATAGAGATTATTAAAGACAACTGACATTTATAGCATTGTGCAAAAGTCAAAGACCCCTTCCATTTATTTAACCTCTATTCAAAATGCCCTATAAGAACAGGTGATTCATTTTCAGGAGATTTTAAATGAGACGTCTGAATGTGAAGAGCCTTTGTAAAGGTTAAGACTCAGCAGAAGGTAAAAGGCTCTACACTGTTCAAGTTTTAAGAACCACACATTCAAAACATTTTGTTTGTAAGTGTTTGCAGATTGATGGATTGTATAAGAAATAATTAAATTGAGACCACCCTTTATTTATTAATATTGAAGTTGAAATGGCCGTTAAGTACAAGTTATTCATTTCTCAGAAGGTATATCTGAAGATATCAGACAGGAGATAATCCACTTGCAGTGAGGTGGTAAGCATACAGAATAAGTTTGTAAGGTTTGAAGAACTGTAGGTTAATACAAAGGCTCTTAGACCTGTACATTAACACGAGAACCATTTAGGAATCTTTACTTGTAAGGGTGTACAGAATGGTGGATTATATTTCTGAATAATACATTTATTAAATATATCAAAGTTTACATTATTCCTCAGTAAACTCTTTTCTTGGCTGATTCCACTGTAATAGTGAAAATGCAGAAGTGAAAGTGTTTCTATCTCCTTCATCCAGAAACTCACTGGAGGGGTTTTTGTACAGCTCTGTAAACTCTTGTGTCAGTGTGGTTGTCGTACACAGTAATACACAGCAGTGTCTTCATTCTTCACGCTGCTCATCTGCAGATACAGCTGGTCTTTGCTGTTGTCTCTAGAAATGGTGAACCTTCCTTGGACAGACTGAGAGTAAGTCTTGGACTGACTGTTGTCTGAAATTATTGCAACCCATTCTAAGCCTTTTCCAGCAGCCTGTCTGATCCAGCCCATCGAGTAGTTATCAAAGTCCAGTCTAGATGGTGTACAGGTCAGTGTATGAGATCCACCAGGTGTAATGACCACTGCTTCAGACTGGATCAGCGTTTGACTCCAACATTCTGAAGGAAAACAAACCAATGAATAAAATATTATAATATTTAATGCAGAATGAAAACATTCAGTAGAAAATCAGCCCATCAGGATCTTACTTGTAGTGAGAGACAGTAAAATAAAACTCCAGAAGATCTTCACTTCCATCCTCCAGGTAGCAGAGTGATGACCATCAAGCAGAATATCATAAAGACTGAGTGATGACTGAGAATATAAAGCTTATAAAGGACAGTGACTCTGCAAAAGGATTTTCATTCTGAGTTCTTCCTCTAAATAGCCCCGCCCACTTCTTTGCATTCATTTCCACTGTACTGTTACACATTACTTTAACTACTAAGTATGATAATGAAATAATAGTGAATTATACACAATACATAAACACACACTGAGTAATGGATTCTGCATTGATTTCTGTGCATCTGCATTTTTCTCTGAACATGTAGCCTCAGCAAACTGCTGTTTATGAGGAATGTGAAAGTGATTATTCGTGCTGTTTACTCAAACATACTGGGTTGAATGAACCTACATTTCTAATATATGATATTTGAAATAAGCAGTGATGTCTCGTCTGATGCTCTCGTACCAGCACCAAACAAACATCACCATCTCAGTGTCACTACTGTGGTGAGATCCAGCACCCAAATACTATCTGGTCAGTGGTGATTATGTAGTGGTCAGTTTCCAGTGATGAGTGGAATCGAGGTTGCTGATAAACTGTGTAGCCACAGATGAGCTACGGTCTGTATTTGCTAATAATTACAGCTTCCATTTTTTTCAGGAAACTCTCTTTCAGGTGTTCAAAGAAATCTGCAGGGATGGTTTCCAAAGTTCAGTCTTAGAAGTTGGTTGTATTTTTGGCTTTTCGAATTCTAGCCTGATGCTGCTATGAGTGGTGTTAGAACAGCATTAGAGTAATGGCCACACATGGCCGTAATAACACTAACAAACACATAAATTAGGATAAAGTTTCATTCATCTACCACATTAAAGTCACCTGTGCTAATTTAATCAGTTTTCTTTGTGTTTTTTTAATTAAGCTGAAATTTCCCCAGTTTTAAGTTTCAAGTCACGAGTCATGTCTCCACCTCTGGTAGATTAAAAAAACTTAGGGACCACTTAAGAGGCCAGTTTCTTGGATCTTGTACACAGAAAACAGAAAAAAACAAACAAATAAAAAAATCTGAGTGATAACATAAATGACTATATTAAATTCTAAGCAAATAAAATAATAATAATAATTAAAAATTGGGTAGGTCTGCGTGTGCTTCCAAATTTGTTGATGCTGATAGTAATATTGTCATCCTGACATCAAAACAAAGAGAAGACAAAAAAGTCATAGCTATTCCCTTATTGGCAGTGCAATAACAGCAGTCACTCACAGCATGATCCATTAGGAATGATTTAGGTCACATTACCGTTCAATGCAGTAATATGGGTATGTTATCTTCTGGTGGGACATGATCACAGGTAAGGATTAAAAAAGAAATTTTATGACAGGTAAAGGAAGAAAAAGAGCAATAAAACTTTTTCCCCATGGTAAAATCTCTGTAAAGCATAGCAAATAAGCCTGGAATGGCCCTGTAATTGTCATGAACACCACTCAGGAGATTTTGCTCACTGACCAGTGATTGGCCCTGCACTGACAGCTCTAAGTCAGCACTAACAAAGTGAGAGTTTTATGTGGGTTTGTCCTGCTGCTAAACTCAGTGAGCCACATTCTGGAATGGTGGGTTTCTGTGGGTTTTCTAGGTTCCTGAAGTGGACCACATTCTGGAATGACAGAGTGGGTCCAGCGCAGGCTAGCACAATCAGGCCCTGTGTGCATTTTATTTGGGCTAGCCCACACTGCCCACAGTTAGCCCTCAGTGGGGGAATATTTGCTGGCTTATTGCTTATAGACACTGGTGACAGCAGATGGGCTGTGCTAGATAATAGAACACTGGATGATGTTTTATAAGCCATTTTACTGAAACTCTGTAAAGCTCTAATGTCGAATGTTCTTTTGTTTATAATTAAAAAAGCAGTGTGAAGTAAACATCTTCATTGTGCTGTGAATGTTGCATAAATATTAATATTGGTGTGAATTTCATCTGTGTTTTTTGGCTACTATGAAAATGAGTATTTTTATGAATTCTTTTTATTTACAAATAGAAATGTAGCATCTAATAAATATTAAGAAATCATGAACATTTGTTCTAAATTTACATTTTCATGTCATTTGCAGATTTGCACATGCTGCACATCTAGAGGCTGCATGCAAAACTGCATATGACTATTTTACATACCTGCACTATTAATGGTGGTGTAACATGTTTGCACAGTATTTAACAGACAAGTTATGGAAATCTATGTTGAGTCTTTAAAGAACTGTTCAGCTTCTTTACTGGCTGCAGACACTTCATTGTACAAAAGTAAAATCTCTCTGAAAACCACTCAACACAAAATTTAAATAATGAGAATTCTTTTTAAAGAAAAACTTTCAGTTTAAAGGAAAGAAAAAAAAAATAACTGAAGTGCTACAAACAGTAAATACAGCCTTCAAAAGAAACAGTTGGCTAATCTGTAGTTTACTTAGCACATATGCTAGCTAGCACAATAACAAGTCCAGCTGAAGTTTTAGTACATTTTTAAAAGAGTGTGATCCTTAAATTATTTACACTTGATTAGTCGGCAACTTCAGCTATAAAAGCTGTTGCGCTAGCTAGCATGCTTGCTCTCCAAACTTCATGTTAGCTGACTTTTTCAAGTAGTTTTGCTTCTTTCTTTTAAACACAGCATTCACTGCCTGTAGGGCTTCATTATGACAATCAGACTGAATGTATGTTTTCCTAAAGCTTGTTATTTGAAGCTGTATTGAACCTAATGCCTCTTTTTTCTCCAGGCATGGATGGACTTGTCTATGAGCCATTAAACATTCATGAATCTTAAAAAAAAATCAGTTTGGCTTCTTTACAGCTTGACGTACTTCAGGCGGTGGCAAAATTTGCATTGCTGCTTTGTTGCAAAACATGGAACTCATGCAGTTCATGCTTAGAGATCAATTACAAATGGCCTCTTTTTTGTACAGATACTGTTTGTTTCTCTGAGCTCTATCTTGAGGCTTTGTTGTTTGCATGAATGAAAGCTGTGGTGTGAGTGAGTTTTTGTACGTCTCAGCTGGTCTCTTACAGCACTGTGATGCTTGTCGAGCACAGTAATACACAGCTGTGTCTTCAGCTTGCAGATTCTGTCCTTGTAGGGTTACTGTGTTTCTGGTTGTGTCTCGAGAGACACTAAACTTGCTTTTCAGTGAATCTTTAGCAGCTATGTTTCCATTATAATAAATGGTGTTGATCCATTCTAGAGTTTTTCCTGCAGGTTGGCGGATCCAGGCTGTTCCATAATGGCTGCTGCTGTCAGTGATAGAAGCTCCAGATACTGTACAGGTGATGGTTAAAGGCTCTGCTGGTTTGATGAGCACTGAGTCTGGCTGGATGAGCTCAGTAGCACAGAACACATCTGTGAAAAGAGAGAAGAAAAGGTTTGTATATTTGCAGTAATAAAGCAGATGAAGTCAAATCCAGCTTCAGTTGGACACTCACACGAGGCAGCAGCCAGCAGCAGCAGTGGAGCTGAAGAGAACATGTTTGTGCTGCATTTAGAGTGATGGAAGCTGCTGTAGAGGGAGATGCTGCTGATATTATGAGAGCAGATGGAGATTTACATATGGATGAAAAGGGGCTGAATGACAGGAGTGGAGCTGGTTCTCATGTGGGCTGTGCTAGATAACAGAACATGCTGAGTTTTATTGAAAATCATGATCCAGAAGTCGTTTTAGAGAAACCCTGAACGTTGCTTATATTGAGCAATTTTTTTGATTCAGAACACTTTAGAAAGTTTCATCATACAGTGCAGTATGTTGTAGATTTATGATTTATGTACTATGTTTGTGATTTTTGGCTGTCATACATACTCAACACTCACATTAATTATTAATTAATTCACAGAATATGAAGTTTCACCTTTACAAAATTTCAGCGCAGCATCTTTGAAACATTTAAACAGACAGAAATTCTGAATTTTCTAAACCTGAACTGAATGTTTAACATGATAAACTGAACATTTTTACAGTAGATGTGCACCGGCCGCCCCCTACAGGCCTCAATATACTCTACCTGCATTGCGGTGCATATATAAAAGAGAATTCCACCAGTTTTTGAAAATGTCTGCATTAATTTATTAATATATAAACAGAGTCATCCAGAGTGGTTTGGTGTGAAATGCTCTGTTCTTGAGAAACTTACTGAGTCAGGATTGTTCACAGTGGTGGTGACAGGAACCAGACGTCTGAAGAGTTTAATGCCTGTAAAAGCTCCCTTACTGTGAGTTATTAAACAAAGTTGTTGTAAAGATGTTTCATGATTCATTGTTTTATGATAGTTTTGAGATACATGTTTGGCCTAAACTTCATTTTTTAAAAGGTGCATTGTTTAGAGGTACATGCAGGTTGTTGTAAGACAAAATAGTCCCCTAAAAAAATGAATAATAAATCATGTTCAAATGTTTCCAGTGCGGTGATGATCTTGGATGAGTTTTATTTTTTAAATTTTTTATTTTTATTCGGCGTTTGATATGATGAACAAACTTCTCACAGTTATACCCATAATTATTGTTAAAAGTGGAGTTTTGACTGATGGTAAAAACAATTTTGAGTATGTTGCATTTTAATAATTCGTTATGTTTTTGATTTACTTATTAAACAGAAGTTGTGTCTGTGAGTTGGAGACTGTTCAGCAGAGCTGCTGGTCATGGATGACTGAACCATTTAAGTGAGTGTGAGTTTTTGTACAGCACTGTAGTGTCTTGTATCAGTGTGTGGTGTTCGTGACAATTACATTCTGTTTATTACAGCGATTTTCCCAAGCAGCTTCACACACTCGAGTCTCGAGTGTTAAGTAGAGAATTTAGTTCAGTCTTGATATTAAATGCAGGAGCTGCATCATGAAAAGTAAAATCCTACTGAAGAAACAGCTTCAGATAAAAATCCTTTCATTACAGAAAAACAACTAGAAACGGCTGGTTAGTCTGTACTTTGTAAATCAAGTATACTGACTACAATAATGACTAATCCAGGTTTAGTTTTGAATCTGATCTGTCTGACTAAAACTTCAGCAAAGTTTGCTTTTACGCTAGTTAGCATGTTTGTTAGCTGAAACTACATAACTGTTTCAAGTTGTTTTGCCTCTTTCCTTCACACTATGTTTACTAAATCTAGTGCTTTGTTCTGTCCATCAGATTGAAAGTTTTTATTAAGCTTTATGGAACCTGATGCTGCTATGAGCTGCAAGAGAACAGCTTTACAGTAAAGATTCTGTTTGATCATAACAAACCTGACAGGCTGGGTACACTCTCAGGAATAAAGGTATGATTCTGTCACTGGGACAGTGCCCCTCTTGTCACTGGGGTGGGACCCTCAAGGGTACATCTCAGTACCTTTAGTCAGGGAACATAAGTCTATAATAATCAATTGAAATGATGCTTTCTAAGTTGTATAATATGTACTTTTCACCTGGACAAACGTATTTAAGCTACACAGTTGGGCCTTAAAACCACTGTCATGAGCGAACATTTACATTGTTTGTACCTTGATGAACGAAAAACATACCTGCACAGAACCTTTATTTCCAGCTGTGTCCACGTTTTTGTTATACCTTTAGCCAATGTGTCATGTATTCGGCCAGCCAGCCTCCAAACTACGATTCCCAGAATCCTCCGCTTCATCACATGACACCAGGAAGAGCAGCAGCAACCAATCGCCGCTCTAGCTCTCCGGAATACTGATCACTTTCACCTGTGTGTTTGTCATGTGATCTGTTTAGTTTAGTATATTAGCCCGGGCTTAGCATAGGACATTTGCGAGGTATTGTTTTCTTGAAAACTACTGAGCGTTCATTCTGGTTTTTTGATCTCCCCTGTTATGACCTTGTGTTTCTGGATTTGTTTCTTGGATTTTCGGATTTGCCCTTTTGTACTGTTGCCTGGTTGGATTGATATCTGGTTTTGGACTTTTGCCTGTGCTCTGGACTTTGATCTGCCTAGCCCTGTTGTGTTTGATCGCCTTCAGTGTATTTTGCTGTGCCTGTGTACCAACGACAATAACTCTAGTAAAGCTTCATCACTTTTTTACATCCGCGAGCGTCTGCTCTCTGGTCGCACGTTACACAATGCAGGGTCTGTTTGGGTTTGGTCTGGGTCAACTCAAGTCCACAATGCCCAAAGTCAGCTCTCAGTGGGACAGTGGGAGCATTTTTTTGGCTTATTGTTTTTTAGAAAATGACAAACAAAAAATACAATAAAATACATGTATTTTCAACAAAATGTACAGTTAAGGTAATAATTATAGGTATAATTAATATTAACTGCAATAAACAATTCTTCCAAGTTCATTCAGAGAAAGTTCTTGTTGCCAAACAGACAGCTGAAAGAGAACAAGAACGTTCAATCATATTCAAACTATGTATATTGCTATCATCTCATGAACATTTTGGTTATTTTCATATAATAATGTTTAAACAAAACCAAGTTCAGTAGCTCAGTGGCCCATGTGAGCGGTTAACTGTCCATTCAGAGTTAAATGGAATTACATGACTTGGCTCTTTAATAGAGAATGCAGTTGATTTAAGTCAGTCATAGTTGTAAAATATTACAACTGCCTTATAATGGTTCATGTTAATGTTTTGTCCTGTGTTTGAATGAAAGCTGTGGTGTGAGTGAGTTTTTGTACGTCTCAGCTGGTCTCTTACAGCACTGTGATCATATCGAGCACAGTAATACACAGCTGTGTCTTCAGCTTGCAGATTCTGTCCTTGTAGGGTTACTGTGTTTCTGGTTGTGTCTCGAGAGACACTGAACTTGCTTTTCAGTGAATCTTTAGCAGCTGTGTCTCCATTATAATCAATGTGGTTGATCCATTCAAGAGCTTTTCCTGCAGGTTGGCGGATCCAGGCTGTTGCATAATGGCTGCTGTCAGTGATAGAAGATCCAGATACTGTACAGGTGATGGTTAAAGGCTCTGCTGGTTTGATGAGCACTGAGTCTGGCTGGATGAGCTCAGTAGCACAGAACACATCTGTGAAAAGAGAGAAGAAAAGGTTTGTATATTTGCAGTAATAAATCAGATGAAGTCAAATCCAGCTTCAGTTGGACACTCACACGAGGCAGCAGCCAGCAGCAGCAGTGGAGCTGAAGAGAACATGTTTGTGCTGCATTTAGAGTGATGGAAGCTGCTGTAGAGGGAGATGCTGCTGATATTATGAGAGCAAATGGAGATTTGAATATGGACAAAAGGGGGCTGAATGTCAGGAATGGAGCTGGTTCTCATGTGGGCTGTGCTAGATAACAGAACGTGTTGAGTTTTATTCAAAAGAGGACATGATAATGATTTTAAATCATGTAACTGAAACTCTGTACAACTCTAATGCTGACTGATCATATATTATTCATGATAAGATGCATGTAGTTAGACATTTGCTTGAAATTAATTAACATTAAAAAGTGTTTTTTTGTGCAGAACTACTTTATATGGTTATGAATATTATTGTCTTTAACTATTTTCAAATTTCAAAGTTTTTTTTTCCAAATGTTATTAAACCACTCTCGATAATTATTATGGTGATTTTGCATTGTTCATAATCATACAACATTTTTGTGAATGTTTAAGTAATTTCCAGCAGTTGTGAAAAATTTCTGCATTAAATCATTTAAAAATAAACATCCAGAAAGTGATTAACAGCCATTTGATGTGAAATTTTCCATTCTTCAGAAAGTTTCCCAACATCTGAAGAGCTAATGTCTCTAAAAGCTCCCTCACATAAGGTTATTACACAAAATGTTCCAAGCATATTACATGAAGACTGAGATGTGTAATGATAATTTTTTTAAACACATGCAGACGTACATGCATCCAAAGACTCACCCCAAAATTCTCAGCTGTTCCTTCTAAGAATGTTATAAAAGAGTATTAGAAAAGCATTAGTCATACCACAGAGCACTGTGGAGATACTCAATATTTGCAAAACAATGTGCCACCACAGGGATATTGCCAAGGAAAAGCTGATGACAAGACAAGAGGAGATTTTATCAGAGAGGTTACAATGACATTAAAAAAGCTGGAGTCGCTGCTCACTCCTGGCAGAAACTTGCAAATCACTAAAGTCCCCCATACAATACTTGTGTCAGGGCTTTGTGGGATAGCAGAAAAATATAAACCATTATTCACAGAAAAATATCACACAAGCCCATCTAAAGTTTGCAAAATACACATTGTCACCCAAATCCATCTTATGAAACAAAGGTTGATGTTTCTGGCCTGCATTCCACATGATATATATTTGACACAACAATGAAGCTTATCAATTAAATATATCCATACCTGCTGTGAAGCATGACTGTGGGAGCATCATGTTTTGTGTAGACTTCACTTCAGCAGGAGATCAAAGGAGGTGGGATTATGACCAGGTCCAAATATCAAATATTATTTCATCCAAGGAAAGGTTTCAAAAAATGAAGATCAGTGTCTTAGAAAAGCCCTTTCAGAGAGCAGAGCTTAATCCCCTAGAAAACTAGATCTGCATCAGATTTTATATAGTAGATCACCTGATAATTTGAAGGAGCTTGAACTTTTTCACAAGGAATAGTGGAATGAAATATCAACGTGCAGGTGTGATGACTTGATAAAGACTTATTACTTAAAGACTCACTGCTGTAATACATTAATAAAGGTACATCAGTAACGTAGCCTATATTTGTAGATGTTATGCACATATATTTCCTTGCTTTGTTGCTTCCAGACACACAGATGCACATATAAAATCACACACATACATCAGATAGTCAAGCTACCGACACTTTAATGCTTCTTTATATGCTGAGCTCTCAGTTCTGGCCTGATCTGAGACTCATGCTATACTTATGAATGGCAAATGTTTGAAAAAACATCTTTGTAAATATCTCAGCAACCTGCATCCTGTTTTTGTACAGCACTGTAGTGTCTTGTATCAGTGTGTCTCATCATGCACAGTAATAAACAGCAGTGTCTTCTGTTTTCAGGCTGCTCATGTGCAGATACACCTGCTTCTTACTGTTTTCTCTGGAGATGGTGAATCTTCCTTTAACAGACTGAGTGTACTCTTTAGTGCTGCCACTTGGAGCTAAAATATGTGAGATTCATTGAAGCATTTTTTTTCCGGGAGCCTGTCTAATCCAGGATATATCTGCATTGTCAACATCAATTCCAGAGAAGGTGCAGGTGAGAGTGTGAGATCCTCCAGGTTTAATGAGCGCTGGCTCTGACTCAGTCAGTGTCTGACATCTACAACCTGTCAAATAAATGCTCAGTTAATCAATTCAGTTCAAACACTGAGACACAATCTCACACAAATACACAAATGACATGAATAAAGATTCTCAGATGAGCTACTCACTGATTACAGTCATTAATGTGAATAGAAAGTGGTGAATGGTTCTAGGTTTCATGGCTGTTTTTGAAAAGTCTAATCAAAGTGAGAATAATAGTTAGAATCTGTGTTTATAAAGTAAAAGTCTCATTTGCATGTCCCGCCCTCCAAAGTGTTCATCAGCAGAAAGATCCAGGGTGACATTCTAGCACTGGAGAATCTAAATGATGTTGCCTTGTAAGCTTTTACTACAGCACTATAGAAATCAAACTGAGACCAGGTTGTTCTGAAGGTCCTGAATCCTACATCACCCCTGCATTAATATAAATATAAAACAGGGAAGAAATAATCCAAACACTGAGAAACTGTACTGAAAAGTCATGACACTGCTGGAATAAATGACAATGAATTCCTCTAGGACTGCATATCTGACTTTATTCACATTCAAATTACAAAAACATTGAGAGTGTGTAGATTCAGAATCAACACATCACCTTATTAGTTATTTATTCATTTTTATTTTGAGTAATTTTGAAAGAATACTTCCTCCACTGACAGATCATCAGTCCTGCAGTGCCTTCAGATGCAGATTTTTAGATGATATGAACATGAACTGAATGTTTGTCATGATAAAAAGGACATTCATTTGTAATGAATGCACAGGCTGCCCCCTGGAGGCTGAAACAGTCCTTCAGTCCTGCCTGACATTGTTTGCATTTATGTGATTCTACAGACACAGTGTAGAAGATATTAAATGCAAACACAGTCAGTGGGTTACAAAAGATTTGTTTGTTTGAATGTATTATATAAATAATACAAATAACAGATTATTATGAAGAAGTGACATTTAGAGCATTGTGCAGAAGTCAGAGACCCCTTTTATTTATTTATCTTCCATTCAAAATGCCCTATAAAAGCAAGTGAATCATTTTCAGGAGATACTAAATGAGGTGTCGCAAAAGATTCTTCACCTTCAAAGTTTAAGGAAAATGTAGAATGCAAAAGGCTCTTGAACCACACATTCAAAACATTTTGTTTTTGTGTTTATGGAATAATAGATTATATCAGAAATAAATAAATAAACTCAGAGACCACCCTTCATTTATTAAATTTGAAGTGGAAATGGCCTTTAAGTATGAGCTATTCATTTTTCAGAAAGTGTTTATGAAGTGATTATTGTGCATTCTCTCATATTTAATGTGCATAAAAAATATAACCACAGTACTGAATATTAATTATGTTTGAATGTTTATTTAGTATTCATTCAGCATAAAAGGAAATATAAACAAATGCATAATAAATAATGATCAAGTTGTAAAATGTGGTTTAACAGTTTTTGAACAGCCATCTGGCCTTTTCTGTCGGTGTGCAACTCGTGCACAGTAATACACAGCTGTGTCTTCAGCTTGCAGATTCTGTCCTTGTAGGGTTACTGTGTTTCTGGTTGTGTCTCGAGAGACACTAAACTTGCTTTTCAGTGAATCTTTAGCATATATGTCTCCATCATAACGAATTCTGTTGATCCATTCCAGAGCTTTTCCTGCAGGTTGTCGGATCCAGTTTGTTGCATAATGGCTGCTACTGTCAGTGATAGAAGCTCCAGATACTGTACAGGTGATGGTTAAAGGCTCTGCTGGTTTGATGAGCACTGAGTCTGGCTGGATGAGCTCAGTAGCACAGAACACATCTGTGAAAAGAGAGAAGAAAAGGTTTGTATATTTGCAGTAATAAATCAGATGAAGTCAAATCCAGCTTCAGTTGGACACTCACACGAGGCAGCAGCCAGCAGCAGCAGTGGAGCTGAAGAGAACATGTTTGTGCTGCATTTAGAGTGATGGAAGCTGCTGTAGAGGGAGATGCTGCTGATATTATGAGAGCAAATGGAGATTTGCATATGAACAAAAGGGGGCTGAATGTCAGGAATGGAGCTGGTTCTCATGTGGGCTGTGCTAGATGGCAGAACTAAATTGATAAACAGATTAGAAAGTTTTATCATACAGTGAACTATGTTTTATGATTATGAATATAATGAATACTCAACACTATACTTGTTATTTATTTGGGTATTTTCAGAACATCTAATTTCAACTTTTTAAAAATTTCCTGCAGCATCTCTGAAACTTAAACCAAAGGGTTAATTCTCAGAATGTGAACTGAATGTTTATCATGATCTGAACATTATTCATAATCAGAATAATAGGACATTATTGTTATAAATAATTGTCAGACATGCACTGGGCGCCCCCTACAGGCTGAAATAGAAACTCTACCTGCTTCTTAGTGGATATTTAAGCAGACCTGGTGTGGAGGATATTAAATGATTTGTAAATGTAAAAGTTCTCAGTATCATCTGGTTCTAGGAAAATCTCATTCTGTATCTTGAAATTCTTTAAACTTTAAAAACTTGTACTTTTAAGTATAAATAATTCACTTCTCAATGTTGGAAAAAAGCAGAAAACCTATATTTGTATAATTTTTTGAAAGATTTCTCGATCTTGATCTTAACACAGTTCTATTGACATTTGCATCAGTTTGGAGGGTTTTAATTATTTGTATATAATTTTCCCCACATATAGAGTTATAGTGCAGAAATAGAAGTGTTTCCGAAAATCTGGAACACAATTCGATTTGTAGGTCTGATCCGCCTGAAAAGAATATGATAAAATTAATATAATTTGCACAAAATATACAACTATAACTGACAATTACATTCTGTATATTACAGCGATTCTCCCAAGCAGCTTCACACATTCGAGAGAATTTAGTTCAGTCTTGATATAAATTCAGACACTGTATTGTACAAAAAGTAAAACCCTACTAAAAACTGGCTTCAAATAAAAATCCTTTCATTACAGAAAAACAACTAGAAATGGCTGGTTAGTCTGTACTTTGTAAAACAAGTATACTAACTACAATAATGACTAATCCAGGTTTAGTTTTGAGTTTTAAAGGAATCTGATCTGTCTGACTAAAACTTCAGCTAAATTAGTTTTTATGCCAGTTAGCATGTTTGTTAGCTGAACTACATAACTGTTTCAAGTTGTTTTGCCTCTTTTCTTCACACTATGTTTACTAAATGTAGTGCTTCATTCTGTCCATCAGATTGAAAGTTTTTATTAAGCTTTATAGAACCTGATGCTGCTATGAGCTGCAAGAGAACAGCTTTACAGTAAAGACTGTGTATGATTATAACGAACCTGACAGGCTGGGTATACTCTCAGAAATAAAGGCTTGTCTGTCACAGGGGCGGTTCCTCTCTTGTCACTGGGGTGGTTCCCTCAAGGGTACATTTAAGGACCTTTAATCAGGGAACATATCAATGTATTATGGCACAGTTATGATATTTTCTAAGCTGTATTGACTTCACACACCCCGTCTCGCCTCCAGGCTTTTTATTTTATTGTTCTGTTTTAAAACATTGGGTTATGAAAACAAAACAAATGTACTTTTCACCTAGGGCAGCACGGTGGCGCAGTGGGTAGCGCTGTGGTCTCACAGCAAGAAGGGCCTGGGTTCGAGTCCCGGCTGGGCGACCAGGGTCCTTTCTGTGTGGAGTTTGCCTGTTCTCCCCGTGTCTGCGTGGGTTTCCTCCAACAGTCCACAAACATGCAGTCAGGCCAGTTGGGCATGCTGCATCGCCCCTTATTTTTATTTTTGCTAGGAAGGTCTGAGTATCTGAGTATTGTTATACTGGTTCCAGTAGCGATATCTTGAATATGATATTCATAAACAAGACATTTGTCAGTACCTTCTTTTAAATCACTAAATGAAAGTGGATGTGGCTTCATCCAGAAATGAGTGTGAGGTGCTGGAAGTGGAAATATTTACTGACTGTAGTGGTCTGTGTTTCTCACACTGAGGCTGCAGTGGGCCACATTCCAGAATATTCCAGATATTTCTTGGTTTATTTTTTTAGACAATGGTGAAAACATAAAATACAATAAAATACATATATCTTCAACAATATATAAGGTATAATTAAGGTATTAATTAATATTAACCGGAATAAACAGTTCTTCCAAGTTTATTTAGAGAATGTTCTTGTTGGCAAACATAGACAGCTAAAAGAGAACGAGCACGTTCAATCATATTCAAACTATGTATATTGCTATCATCTTATGAACATTTTGATTATTTTCATATAATAATGTTTAAACCTAAGCAGGTTCTGTAGCTCAGTGGTCCATGTGAGCAGTTAACTGTCCATTCACTGTTAAATGGAGTTTCGTGACTTGGCTCTATAATACAGAATATAGTTGCTGTAAGTCAGTCATAGTTGTGTGTATAATGAACATTTATCAGTGCTTTTGAATGCAGCTCAACCAATCAGATTTTAGGACCCGAAATATCTGTTTTATAAAACAAATACAACTTATTTTGCAGATCCAGATAGACTTTGTTTGCATTACCATGATCTGTATTAATGCTTTGTCCTGTGTTTGAATGAAAGCTGTGGTGTGAGTGAGTTTTTATACATCTCAGCTGGTCTCTTACAGCACTGTGATCATGTCGAGCACAGTAATACACAGCTGTGTCTTCAGCTTGCAGATTCTGTCCTTGTAGGGTTACTGTGTTTCTGGTTGTGTCTCGAGAGACACTAAACTTGCTTTTCAGTGAAGCTTTAGTATGTATGGCTCCATCACAATAAATGTGGTTGATCCATTCCAGAGCTTTTCCTGCAGGTTGGCGGATCCAGGCTGTTGCCCAATGGCTGCTGCTGTCAGTGATAGAAGCTCCAGATACTGTACAGGTGATGGTTAAAGGCTCTGCTGGTTTGATGAGCACTGAGTCTGGCTGGATGAGCTCAGTAGCACAGAACACATCTGTGAAAAGAGAGAAGAAAAGGTTTGTATATTTGCAGTAATAAATCAGATGAAGTCAAATCCAGCTTCAGTTGGACACTCACACGAGGCAGCAGCCAGCAGCAGCAGTGGAGCTGAAGAGAACATGTTTGTGCTGCATTTAGAGTGATGGAAGCTGCTGTAGAGGGAGATGCTGCTGATATTATGAGAGCAAATTTGCAAATGAACAAAAAGGGGCTGAATGTTAAGATTGGAGCTGGTTCTCATGTGGGCTGTGCTAGATAATAGAATGTGTAGAGTTTTATTTAAAAGGGGTCTGAGTAATGATTTTAAGTGACTTCACTGAAACACTGTAGAGCTCTAAAATTGAATGATCATGTACAAAATAAGACACACAGTTAGAAATGTGCTTAAAATGAATACACATTAGAAAAAGTGTTATTATGCACTGAAGCATTTTATGTCTTTGTGGATATGATTGTGTTTAAAAATATCAAGTTTTAAAAGTTGTTCAGAATTTCAGTGGGTAACATCTAAACAGAGAGATGATCTGAATGTTTTTAACCTTTAATTTAAATTTAAAAATTTCATTTAATTGAATTAATTTAATTTTTATTTTTTTCATGAACAAATTAAATTGTGGTCCATGTTTGAAAGAAATTCAGCAGTTTTTCAAAATATCTGCATTACATCTTTTAATTATGAACATCATCCACAAAATCATAAACAGCCATTTGATTGGAAATGTTTCATTTTTTTCAGAAAGTCTCCCGACATCTGAAGTTTCATGCCTCTAAAAGCTCCCTGACAGAAAGTTGTTATACAAAATGTTCCAAATCTTATGCATGAAGACTGAGAGATTGTTTAATGATGAATTTGATAAGATGTTGGCCTTTATTGTACTTTTAAACCACATGCAGAAGTACTTGCATCCAAATTTACCACTTTTGTACATACATTTAATTCTGATTCAGCCTGTAACCTCAGCTTTACCTGTAGTTCTGTGAGAGCACACATTCTGAGAAAGTTATTTTAAAAATATCAGAAGAACATTAGCCATACCATGGAGCACTGTGAAAATCCTCAATGTGAACATGCAAAAATGTGCCACCACAGAGATATTGCAATGAAAAGACAAGAAGAGATATCATCAGAGATGCTACCTACAGCTGCCCCCTGACAGAAACCTGAAGACTAGCTAAAAAAAAACCCATACATGGCTATGTGGTATAGTAGAAAAACTGAAGCCATTATTCAGAAAAGTCTCAAACAAGCCCATCTAAACATTAAAATTCACTTTTTCTTAAAAGCATCTGAAGAAACAGAGGTTGAAGCTTTCGGCCTGATTTCTATAAGATATGTTTGGCACAACAACAAAGCTTATTGACTACATATCACCATACTTACTGCGAAGCATGGTGGTGGCAGCATCATGTTTTAAGGGGCTTCAATTTAGTAGGGACAGGAGCTCTACGTAAGGTAGGTGGTATTATGACCAAGTACAAATATCAACCATTGTTTAATCTAAGGAGACATTTCAAAAAATGATCAGTGTCTTTGCCCCATCAGAGAGCAAAGCTTAATGCCATAGAAATCTATTTAATAAGCTTTATACAGTAGATCACCTGACATTTTGAAGGAGCTTGAACTTTTTCACAAGAAACAGTGGAATAAAATAGTAGAGTGCAGGTGTGATGACTTGATAAGGACTTAAAGACTCACTGCTGTAATACATGAAAAATGTACATTAATAATGTTGCCTATATTTACAGACGTTATGGACATAACACAGACACACAGATGCAAACATAAAATGACACGCATATAAATGATAGTCAAGCCACTGTCACTTTAATGCTTCTTTACATGCTGAGCTCTCAGTTCTGGCCTCATTTCACACTCATGCTGTACGTATGAATTGAAAATGTTTGAAAAAAGATCTCTGTAAAGATCTCGGTAACCTGTATCCTGTTTTTGTACACCACTGTAGTGTCTGGTATCACTGTGGTCGTCGTGCACAGTAATAAACAGCAGTGTCTTCTGTCTTCAGGCTGCTCATGTGCAGATACACCTGCTTCTTACTGTTTTCTCTGGAGATGGTGAATCTTCCCTCAACAGACTGAGAGTAATATTTAAAGCTACCACTTGGAGCTGAAATATATGAGATCCATTCAAGCTCTTTTCTGACAGCCTGTCTAATCCAGAATATATCTGCACTGCCAACATCAATTCCAGAGAAGGTGCAGGTGAGAGTGTGAGATCCTCCAGGTTTAATGAGCGCTGGCTCTGACTCAGTCAGTGTCTGACATCTACAACCTGTCAAATAAATGCTCAGTCAATCAACACAATCTCACATAAATACACAAATGACATGAATAAAGATTCTCAGATGAGCTACTCACTGATTACAGTCATTAATGTGAATGGCTCTTGGTTTCATGTTTTTTGCTGAAAAATCAAAGTAAAGTGAGGATAAAAGTTTGAATCTGTGTTTATAAAGGAAAAGTCGTATTTGCATGTCCCACCCTCTGAAGGGTTTATCAGCAGAAAGATTCAGGGGGACATTCTAGCACTGGAGAATCTAAATGATGTTGCTTTTTCTATCTATAATAAACTCGTCTCTCAGCCTCAGGTATGTTCCAGAATCTCTTAAATTAGCTGTAATTAAACCCCTAATAAAGAAACCTAGTCTTGACCCCTCTGAGCTATCAAACTATAGACCTATTTCAAATCTTCCCTTTTTATCAAAAATTTTACAGAAAGCTGTGGCAAAACAATTATGTTCCCATCTGCATAGGAATGATATACATGAAAAATTTCAGTCTGGCTTCAGGCCTCAACATAGTACCGAAACAGCGTTAGTGAAAATTGTAAATGATCTTTTATTATCCGCTGACAAAGGAAACATATCCTTACTGGTTTTACTCGATCTTGTGATCGCTTTGAGTTTGTTAATGTAAATGGTGAACCATCAGCTCTCACAAGAGTAAAGTATGGTGTTCCACAGGGCTCTGTCTTAGGACCCATATTATTTACCTTATATATTCTACCACTAGGTACCATCATTAGAAAACATGGCATCAGTTTCCACTGCTATGCCAATGATACACAATTTATATATTTCAGCTAAACCAGAGGACAAAATCGAACTTAATAAGATTAAAGAATGGATGTCAAGTAACTTCCTCTTACGAAATTTGGACAAAACAGAAGTTCTTATTGATCTTAAAGCTGCTAGGGATAATCTGCCTACGTTTACTCTTAATCTCGATAGTTTCTCAATTGCACCAGGCACATCTGTAAAAAGCCATGGTGTCACGATCGATCCCGATCAGGCCTTCGATGAGCATATTACCAATATTACCAGAATAGCTTTCATCCACCTGCGTAATATCGCTAAATTAAGAAATGCACTGTCGCTACAGGATGCAGAAACGTTAGTTCACGCCTTTATCACGTCCAGGTTAGATTACTGTAACGCTCTGTTTTCTGGTTGTTCCAGCCAAAACCTTAACAAGCTTCAGTTAGTCCAGAACGCTGCAGCCAGAGTTCTCATCAAAACCAGGACATTTGACCACATTAGCCCAATTTTGTGTACCTTACATTGGTAGCCAGTTAAATTCCGCATTGAGTACAAAATTCTTCTACTGACATATAAAGCTCTGAATGGCTTTGCTCCTCAGTACCTCAGTGACCTTATTTCCTATTATCAACCGACACGCCCACTTAGGTCACAAGGTGCTGCTCATTATTAGTACCCAGAATAAATAAAGTTACGTCAGGGGGAGGAGACTTTTCATACAAAGCCCCCCAGCTTTGGAACAGCCTACCAGTCTGTGTTCGGGACTCAGACACAGCCTCCATCTATAAGTCTAGGCTAAAAACTTACCTGTTTAGTCGAGCCTTTGGTTAATTTGTTTTCCTAACTATGTCCCTCTTACCCCCTCCCCTGCCCCCCTATCCCCCCCCCTTTCCCCGTCCCCCTCTTTTTCCCTGAACTGAGCGGCTGCCTGTCCTAAGAGGGTCTGATGTGACTGATGCAGCTGGCGCACTGCACAGTGGTGTTAAACTGTATCTACTTGTGCTGTTTTGTGTCTGTGCTGTTATCCGGTGTTGACCAGAGGAGGATGGGTTCCCCTATTTGAGTCTGGTTCTTCTCGAGGTTTCTTCCTCCTGTTGAGGGAGTTTTTCCTCGCCACTGTCGCCAAGGCTTGCTCACTGGGGGCGTGGACCCGGATTCTCTGTAAAGCTGCTTTGTGACATCTGTTGTAAAAGGCGCTATATAAATAAATTTGACTTGACTTGACTTTGTAAGCTTTTATTACACAACTATAGAAATCAAACTGAGACCAGGTTGTTCTGAAGGTTCTGCATCACCAGTGCATTGTAGTAAATATAAACCAATAAATAATCAGAACACTGAAAAACTGTACTGAAAAGTAATGATACTGGAATAAATGACAATGAGTTCCTCTAGGAAGCTGTGAAAAGCTGCATATCTGACTTTATTCACATTCAAATTACAAAAAACATTGAGAAGGCACAGATGCAGAATCAACACATCACCTTATTATTTATTTATTCATTTTTATTTTGAGCAATTTTTTGAGAGAATAATTCCTCCACTGACAGACCATCAGTCCTGCAGTGTCTTCAGATGCAGATTTTTAGATATGAACAAGAACTGAATGTCATGATAAACTGAACACTCTCCATTATCAGAGTTAGAGAGGTCATTTGTAAAGAATGGACAGGCTGCCCCCTGGAGGCTGAAACGCAGTTCTTCAGTCATGCCTGACATTGCTTGTGTTTTTGTCTGATTGTACAGACACAGTGTAGAAGATATTAAACGCAAACTCAGTCAGTGGGTTACAAAAGACGTGATAGAACAATTGTAAGGTTTATTTGTTTGTATGTATTATATAAATAATGCAAATAAGAGATTAGAATGAACAACTGACATTTACAGCACTGTGCAAAAGTCAGAGACCCCTTTTATTTATTTATTCTCCATTCAAAATGGCTTATAAGAACAGGTGATTCATTTTCAGGAGATACTAAATGAGGTGTCTGAGGGTGAAGAACCTTTTGAAAGTTTAAGGAAAGTGAAGAATGTAAAATGCAAAAGGCTCTTGAACCGCACATTCAAAACATTGTGTTTTTGTGTTTATCGAATAATGGATTATAGTAATAATTAAATAAGTCTTGTGGAAAACTCAGAGACCACCCTTCATTTATTAAATTTGAATTTGAAATGGCCTTTAAGTATGAGCTATTCATTTTTCAGAAAGTGTTTATGAAGAGATCAAATATGAGAGAATGCACACTAATGTCCATAAAAAATAAGTCCAGTACTGAATATTAATTATGTTCAAATGTTTATTTAGTATTCATTCAGCATGAAATGAATGTGAACAAATGAATAATAAATAATGATCATGTTGTAAAATGTGGTTTAACGGTTTTTGAACAGCATCCTGGCCTTTCTGTGTCAGTGTGAGTCTCGAGCACAGTAATACACAGCTGTGTCTTCAGCTTGTAGATTCTGTCCTTGTAGGGTTACTGTGTTTCTGGTTGTGTCTCGAGAGACACTAAACTTGCTTTTCAGTGAATCTTTAGCTTCTATGTTCCCAGGATAATAAATGCTGTTGATCCATTCCAGAGCTTTTCCTGCAGGATGGCGGATCCAGGCTGTTCCATAATGGCTGCTGCTGTCAGTGATAGAAGCTCCAGATACTGTACAGGTGATGGTTAAAGGCTCTGCTGGTTTGATGAGCACTGAGTCTGGCTGGATGAGCTCAGTAGCACAGAACACATCTGTGAAAAGAGAGAAGAAAAGGTTTGTATATTTGCAGTAATAAATCAGATGAAGTCAAATCCAGCTTCAGTTGGACACTCACACGAGGCAGCAGCCAGCAGCAGCAGTGGAGCTGAAGAGAACATGTTTGTGCTGCATTTAGAGTGATGGAAGCTGCTGTAGAGGGAGATGCTGCTGATATTATGAGAGCAAATGAAGATTTGCATATAAACAAAAAGGGGCTGAATTGGAGGAATTTAGCTGGTTCTCATGTGGGCTGTGCTAGATAACAGAACATGTTGAGTTTTATTCAAAAGAAGACATAGTTATCCATAAGCCATTTCATAGAATCTCTGTAGAGCTCTAATGTTGAATAATCTGTACTGACACAAGAAAACACACATGAGGAGAAATTTTATTTGTATTTCTGTGTATTAGAAAAGGTATTAGAAGTGTTTTGATGTGCTTTCTGGTTTGAATATAAACATGATTGTGATTTCTGACTGTAAAGGATACTCAATACTCTCACATTAATTAATACAAATTATTAAATTTATTTATACTGAATATCAAGTTTCAAGTTTTTTTAATTTTCTTGCAGACTCTTTAAAACATTAAGCAGCCAGAATCTGTGAATGTTATGAATCAGGTTTCAGGGATGTTTTTCATAATCAGAATAATAGGACATGTCAGATATGCACAGGCTGCCACCTACAGGCTGAAATAAAAACTATATCTGCAGTTCAGTGCATGTTTAAAGGAGAATCACTGTAGCTCTTCAAAATATCTGCATTAATTGGTTAAGATGTGCACAAAGTCATTCAGAGTGGTTTGGTATGAAATGCTCTGTTCTAGAGAAACTGACAGAGCCAGAATAGTTCACAGTGGTGGTGATAGGAACCAGGCGTCTGAAGAGTTTAACATTTCTAAAGGTCCTTTACTGTAATTTATTACATGAAACAGTTATACATATGTGACCTGACACCTGAGAAATTGTTTCATGATAGTTTTGAGGTACAACGTTGGCTTAAAATATATGTAAAAAAAAAACATGCAAGTAGTGGTAAGTCAAAATAATCTCCAAGAACAATATACAACCCATTCTCCATCAATCACAATTATATCAGCATGCAAAGGACCATTTAATCATGCAAATGGTTCTTTATATGTTCATAGTTATATATAGAACTATTGTCTTTATTAAAGAAGCCGTGAAGAACCGTCTTTATAATAATGTAACATGAAACTGTCTGTAGTTATAAATCTTCAGGCCAAATTCATTCAAGAACAGTGTTGTGAGCTTTACATTTTATTCATTAAAATTGTATTTCAAAGCAGCTGTTTTTAAGCTGTTTCTACTGGATAGTTTGAATATCTATAAACAGTGTCTGCCGTTCATAACTGGTTTTGTTTACATGCAGAGATTTTTTGCCAATCTGATTAAATACATTCTGATTATAGATGAAGACTGAGGTGTTTACTTTACTCAATAATCAATAAGTTTACATACATACTACAAGTAATCAGAACCAACATTACACACATGCATAGAGCACCACTTAGTGTAGACGTTACTATGACAACGAGCATCTCGTGAGTCCAGTCAGAGTGAGACGAGCAGCAGTGAGCAGCGCTTGTGTTTTTAATCACTTTAAAATGATGTCAGACTCAGGAAAACGTCCTTCACATGTCCTTATTAAAGAAGGTCGAGAGGAAGACGTCGTGTTCTGAGACACATAAGCTGGACGTCCGTCCCACCGCCGTCTTTTAAAGATCAGAGCATAAACTTCGTCTCCTCTGCAGACCAGTTTCTGATCCATGGTGTACATTATAAACTTTCGCTATGACGAGACGAACATGATCAGAACGTACTTAAACTCTCGATTGGGAATGTAATCAGATACAGATGTTTACACGGATATTATTCTTCTATTTAACAGATTATTTACAGGATTACCCACCTCGTTCACTCGGATAGAAACTGTATTCCGAATGGCCTCAATTGTACTAGTCTATTCTGACTGAGGTGGCTACATCAGGCTGCATGTAAAGATGGCCAGTGTACTTGATTATTTTCAAAAATATTGCTAATAGCAAGCATTGCAAAAGTCAGAGACCCCTTTTATTTATTTATTCTCCATTCAAAATGGCTTATAAGAGCAGGTGATTCATTTTCAGGATATACTAAATTAGGTGTCTGAGGGTGAAGAACCTTTTGAAAGTTTAAGGAAAGTGAAGAATGTAAAATGCAAAAGGCTCTTGAACCGCACATTCAAAACATTGTGTTTTTGTGTTTATCGAATAATGGATTATAGTAATAATTAAATAAGTCTTGTGGAAAACTCAGAGACCACCCTTCATTTATTAAATTTGAATTTGAAATGGCCTTTAAGTATGAGCTATTCATTATTCATTTGGATGCATATTTACAGGAATAGTTATAATTGTTACAAATAAATTCCTTCAAAGTGGTTTAATCTTAATTGCTCCATTCAAGACAAACTTACAGAGTCAGAATTGTTCACAGTGGTGTGTGACTGTAATTCGTACTGACTGTAATGGTCTGTGTTTCTCACACCGAGGCTGCAGTGGGCCACATTCCAGAATGGTGGTGTGGGTTCAGTGAGGGTTAGCCTACACAGGGTCTGTCTAGGTTTTGTGTGGGTCAGCTCAAGTCCACACTGCCCACAGTCAGCCTTCAGTGGGACAGTGGGAGCATATTTCTTGGTTTATTGTTCTTAGACAATAAAAAAAAAACAAAATGCAATAAAATACACACATTTCTAACAAAGTATTTGAGGTAAAATGAATAATATTAGCAATAAACAGTTCTTCCAAGTTCATTTAGAGAATGTAAGTACTACCAAACATGGACAGCTGAAGGACTAGTTCAGTCATATCAATCAACTCTTGAACTTTAAGTTTTTTATTATAATAGTGTTTAAACAAGAAGAGGTTCAGCAGCTCAGTGGTCCATGTGAGCAGTTAACTGTCCATTCACTGTTAAATGGAGTTCCGTGACTTGGCTCTTTAATACAGAATAGAGTTGCTGTAAGTCAGTCATAGTTGTGTGTATAATGAACATTTATCAGCGCTTTTGAATGCAGCTCAACCAATCAGATTTTAGGACCCGAAATATCCATTTTATAAAACAAATACAACTTATTTTGCAGATCCAGATAGACTTTGTTCACATTACCATGATCTGTATTAATGCTTTGTCCTGTGTTTGAATGAAAGCTCTGGTGTGAGTGAGTTTTTGTATGTCTCAGCTGGTCTCTTACAGCACTGTGATCATGTCGAGCACAGTAATACACAGCTGTGTCTTCAGCTTGCAGGTTCTGTCCTTGTAGGGTTACTGTGTTTCTGGTTGTGTCTCGAGAGACACTAAACTTGCTTTTCAGTGAATCTTTAGCATGTATGTGCCCATCATAACCAATCCTGTTGATCCATTCCAGAGCTTTCCCTGCAGGTTGTCGGATCCAGGCTGTTGCATAATGGCTGCTGCGGTCAGTGATAGAAGCTCCAGATACTGTACAGGTGATGGTTAAAGACTCTGCTGGTTTGATGAGCACTGAGTCTGGCTGGATGAGCTCAGTAGCACAGAACACATCTGTGAAAAGAGAGAAGAAAAGGTTTGTATATTTGCAGTAATAAATCAGATGAAGTCAAATCCAGCTTCAGTTGGATACTCACACGAGGCAGCAGCCAGCAGCAGCAGTGGAGCTGAAGAGAACATGTTTGTGCTGCATTTAGAGTGATGGAAGCTGCTGTAGAGGGAGATGCTGCTGATATTATGAGAGCAAATGGAGATTTGCATATGAATGTAAAGGGGCTGGATGACAGGAGTGGAGCTGGTTCTCATGTGGGCTGTACTAGATAACAGAATGTCTTGAGTTTCATTCAAAAGATGACCGCATATGATTTATAAGCTATTTCACAGAATTTTTGTTGAGCGTTGAAATTGATTAATCAGTACTAATAAAAGAAGAAATCTATAAGAGGACACTTTAAAATTGATAAATTAGAAAGTTTTATTATGAAGTGAAGTGTATTGTATGGCTTGAATATGAACTTGATCATGTTTTTGGCTGCCCTGACAGCTCAGCACCATCACATAAATGAATTAGTACAGAATATCATGTTTCAAGTTTTTAAATAAAAGTGCAGCCTTTTCAAAACATTAAACAGACAGATTATGAATTTTTTGAACCTTTGTGAGCATCTTTGTATGTAATTGTTAGATATACACAGGCCGCCCCCTACAGGCTGAAACAGAAACTCTACCTGCATTGTTGTGCATATATAAAAGAGAATTCCACCAGTTTTTCTAAATGTCTGCATTAATTTATTAATGTATAAACAGAGTCATTCAGAGTGGTTTGGTGTGAAATGCTCTGTTCTAGAGAAACTTACTGAGTCAGAGTTGTTCACAGTGGTGGTGACAGGAACCAGGCATCTGAAGAGTTTAATGCCTCTAAAAGCTCCCTTACTTTGAGTTATAAACAAGGTGCTTGTACGATAGTTTTGAGATACACGTTTGGCCTAAAATGTATTTTTTTGTAAAGTGCTTTGTTTAGAGGTACAGGCAGGGTGTTGTAAGGCAAAATAGTCCCCAAATAAAAGTTATTTATTTCTCAGAAGGTATATCTGAAGATATTAGACATGAGGTAATCCACTTGCAGTGAGGTAGTAAGCTGTCCACCAAAGGGTGGATAACTAAATACTGCAAAATGAAGAAACTTGTTGAGGCTTCTGTTTAATTTTTTGTAAAGAATGTGTTTTCTGCCTTTTTCTAACATTGACAAATGAATTATTATATCATACATACAGAATAAGTTTGTAAGGTTTAAGTTAATATAAAGGCTCTTTTCCAACTAAAGCTTTTCATAGACCTGAACATTCACACGAGAACCATTCAGGAATCTTTACTTGTAAGAGTGTACAGAACGGTGGATTATATTTCTGAATAAGACAAGTATTAAATATATCATAGTTTACATTATTCCTCCGTAAACTCTCTACTTCTGGCTGGTTCCACTGTAATTGTGAAAATGCAGAAGTGAAAGTGTTTCTATTTCCTTCATACTGACACACTGGAGGGGTTTGTGTACAGCTCTGTAAACTCTTGTGTCAGTGTGGATCTCGAGCACAGTAATACACAGCAGTGTCTTCATTCTTCACGCTGCTCATCTGCAGATACAGCTGGTCTTTGCTGTTGTCTCTGGAGATGGTGAACCTTCCTTGGACAGACTGAGAGTAATACTTGTACTGACTATCATATCTGATGCTTGCCACCCATTCTAAGCCTTTTCCAGCAGCCTGTCTGACCCAGCCCATCCAGTAGTTATCAAAGTCTAGTCTAGATGGTGTACAGGTCAGTGTATGAGATCCTCCAGGTGTAATGACCACTGCTTCAGACTGGATCAGCGTTTGACTCCAACATTCTGAAGAAAAACAAACCAATGAATAAAATAACATAATAGTTAATGCAGAATAAAAAAACAAAACAACATTCAGTATAAAATCAGCCATCAGGATCTTACTTTTAGAGAGAGACAGTAAAATAAAACTCCAGAAGATCTTCACTTCCATTGTCCAGGTAGCAGAGTGATGACCATCAAGCAGGATATCATAAAGACTGAGTGATGACTGAGAATATAAAGCTTATAAAGGACAGTGACTTTTCATAGTCCATTTGCAACCTAAAAGGTCTGTCATTCTGAATTCTTCCTCTAAATAGCCCCGCCCCTTTCTCTGCCTTCTCTTCCACTGTATTCTTGCACATTAATTTAACTGACAAATACGATAAAGTAGTGAAACTAAACTATGCACAATATATAATCTCACACTGAGTAATGTATTCTGTTTTATTCTCAATGCTTTACATGAATCTGTAAACATGTACTTTTGGTAGACTGTGCTGTTCATGAGGAATGTGAACATGATTTTTATGATTTTTACTCAAACAAAATGAGTTTATCTTATTTTTCCCCAGAATTCCAAGTTTCATTTTTTTCTAAATTTCAGTGCTGAACCTTTACTGAATGTTTATCCTGATAATCTGAACCTTCTTCATCATCATGAGAAGAAAATAAACAGATATGAACAGGCTGCCCCCTACAGGCTGAAAAAGGAACTGAATATCTGTTTTGGTGCATATTTAAATTTCTCAGTATCAGGTTAAGTAGAAAAATTTCATAGAGGATAAGTTACCACTTAATTTAGAGAATGTTATTGTTACCAGACATGGACAGCTGGAGGAGAACGAATGTTCAATCATATTCAAACTATGTATATTGCAGTCATCTCATGAAGTTCTTGTTTTCTTTTTTCATATAAAAATATTTAAACAAAAGTAGGGTCAGTAACTCAGTGGTCCATGTGAGCAGTTAACTGTCCATTCACAGTTAAATTGAATTTTGTGACTTGGCTCTTTAATACAGAATATAGTTGATGTAAGTCAGTTGTTTTTCACTGCTTTTGAACGCGTTTGAAGAACCAACCAGATTTAAGGACCCTAGATACTGATTTACAAAACATAGATCCAGATAATCTTTTGCATTATTCTGGTCCATGTTAATGCTTTTGTCCTGTGTTTGAATGAAAGCTCTGGTGTGAGTGAGTTTTTGTACGTCTAAGCTGGTCTCTTACAGCACCGTGATGGACGTCGAGCACAGTAATACACAGCTGTGTCTTCAGCTTGCAGATTCTGTCCTTGTAGGGTTACTGTGTTGCTGGTTGTGTCAAGTCAAGTCAAATTTATTTATGTCGCACCTTTTACAACAGATGTTGTCACAAAGCAGCTTTACAGAGAATCCGGGTCCACGCCCCCAGTGAGCAGGACTTGGCGACAGTGGCAAGGAAAAACTCCCTCAACAGGAGGAAGAAACCTTGAGAGGAACCAGACTCAAATAGGGGAACCCATCCTCCTCTGGTCGACACTGGATAACAGCACAGACACAAAACAGCACAAGTAGATACTGTTTAACACCACTGTGCAGTGCGCCGGCCGCATCACTCACGTCAGACCCTCTTAGGACAGGCAGCCGCTCAGCACAGGGAAAGAGGTGGGGGGGAGGGGGGAGGGACATAGTTAGGAAAACAAATTAACCAAAGGCTCGACTAAACAGGTAAGTTTTTAGCCTAGACTTAAAGATGGAGGCTGTGTCTGAGTCCCGAACACAGACTGGTAGGCTATTCCAAAGCTGGGGGGCTTTGTATGAAAAGGCTCCTCCCCCTGACGTAACTTTATTTATTCTGGGTACTAATAATGAGCAGCACCTTGTGATCTTAGTGGGCGTGTCGGTTGATAATAGGCAAGGCCATTCAGAGCTTTACACGTCAGTAGAAGAATTTTGTACTCAATGCAGAATTTAACTGGCAACCAATGTAAGGTACACAAAATTGGGCTAATGTGGTCGAATTTCCTGGTTTTGCTGAGAACTCTGGCTGCAGTGTTCTGGACTAACTGAAGCTTGTTAAGGTTTTGGCTGGAACAACCAGAAAACAGAGCGTTACAGTAATCTAACCTGGACGTGATAAAGGCGTGAACTAACGTTTCTGCATCCTGTAGCGACAGTGCATTTCTTAATTTAGCGATGTTACGCAGGTGGAGGAAAGCTATTCTGGTAATTTTGGTAATATGCTCATCGAAGGCCAGATCGGGATCGATCGTGACACCATGGCTTTTTACAGATGTGCCTGGTGCAATTGAGAAACTATCGAGATTAAGAGTAAACGTAGGCAGATTATCCCTAGCAGCTTTTGGACCAAGAAGAAGAACTTCTGTTTTATGTGAATTTAGTAAGAGGAAGTTACTTGACATCCATTCTTTAATGTCTTTTACACAGTCCTCTATCTTATTAAGTTCGATTTTGTCCTCTGGTTTAGCTGAAATATATAAATTGTGTATCATTGGCATAGCAGTGGAAACTGATGCCATGTTTTCTAATGATGGTACCTAGTGGTAGCATATATAAGGTAAATAATATGGGTCCTAAGACAGAGCCCTGTGGAACACCATACTTTACTCTTGTGAGAGCTGATGGTTCACCATTTACATTAACAAACTCAAAGCGATCACAAGATCAAGTAAAACCAGTAAGGATATGTTTCCTTTGTCAGCGGATAATAAAAGCTCATTTACAATTTTCACTAACGCTGTTTCGGTACTATGTTGAGGCCTGAAGCCAGACTGAAATTTTTCATGTATATTACTCCTATGCAGATGGGAACATAATTGTTTTGCCACAGCTTTCTATAAAATTTTTGATAAAAAGGGAAGATTTGAAATAGGTCTATAGTTGGATAGCTCAGAGGGGTCAAGACTAGGTTTCTTTATTAGTGGTTTAATTACAGCTAATTTAAGAGTTTCTGGAACATACCCGAGGCTGAGAGACGAGTTTATTATAGATAGAAAAGGCTTGGTTATTTCTGGCAAAACGTCTTTAAGTAAACCTGTAGGGAAAGGATCTAGTATACAAGTTGTTGTTGTTTTTGAAGATTAAATAATTTGGACAAGCTCTGTTTGTTGGAGTAAAGTAAAAGACTCCAGCGTCTCTGTAGAGGTTATACTGCACTCTAGATCTAGATTAGATTATGCTGCGCATTTTGAATTTTGTGCCTCTCGAGAGACACTAAACTTACTTTCCAGTGAATCTTTAGCACGTATGTCTCCATCATAATAAATGTAGTTGATCCATTCCAGAGCTTTTCCTGCAGGTTGGCGGATCCAGGCTGTTGCATAATGGCTGCTGCTGTC